TCAAGTAACACATCCAACGCCCCTGTTGAACCTGCCTCCCCATCATTTGCAGGCAGTGCATTCCAAACCCGAACTGCTGGCTGTGTGAGAATGTTTTCACCCTTGCTTCGTTTGTCCTGTCACTTTAGAACCGGAGGCCCTCGTAATCTCGCAAACTATCACAAGCAATCTATTTCTTTTGAAAGGTGTGGTCGCGTTGTCACGCAAGAAGTCTGCTCCCTCCTGCGTAGGGTTGCTACTTAGCAAAGAGAGAGGGCAGAACTATGATTCATGTCTTCTTGCTCGGATTAGGTCGCTGCTTACCAGCATTGGCAGGGTCCCACAACTGGCAGCACGGAAGTGATCCAAACCCCTTTTGCGATATCGATGGAACGATAAATATTAGCCCCCCAGCACTTTGCAGAGTCTCCCTCCCAGGCTTCCATGCCACTCTCTCGCCCTGCTCTTCGTTGCAATTACTGTCACGGGATCTTTCTATGCAGGGACGGGGCCCTCTGTTTAATATTTGAGAGATAGCAGCACCTAGAAAGCAACACTCCATCCGCACACGGGTGCGCGGAGCCCTACAGACCGCTCCAGGTCAATTCAAAAGCCAACATCAAATGTTGTGCTGCCCTCCGTTGCCAATCAGCCGACTTTCAAAGGTCAGACTCTTCGGAGACAAACAGGAGTAGGCCCCTCAAGCCTGCTCCCACCGTTCGATAAGATCAGAACTCAACTGATGATTTCACATCACCGCCTACCCTATAACCTTTCAGTCCCTCACTTGTCAAGAATCCACTCTTGTCTGCATTAAGAATATTCAGAGACACTGCTGCGCCTCCACTTTGGAGGAAGAGAGTTCAAAAATACTCTGAGAAAATAAATTCTCGTCCGTCTTAGGTGCGGAAGCCAAACTTTTTAAACAATATCCCTGGTTCTGGATTCTCTCGAATCTTGAGAAGGTGCCTTCTCGAACTGCTGCAGACTGTGGGTTGACCCACAACGTCCTCAGGGCGGGAATTCCAGGATTTTGAGCCAGTGACACTGAAGGAATGGCTGATATATTTCCAAGTCAGGGTGGCGAGTAGTTTGGAGGGAACTCAAAGGCTCCCATGGGCCTGGTGTCTTTGTCCTTCTAGGTGGAGAGACAGAGAAAGACACCAGAATGCGATATATCATTCCCGATGCTCTCCTGCCTTGATCCCGGACGCCACCCATTCCCCCCGCCACCCACTCACCTCCAGCCTGCTCTTGTCCGCCCTGCTCAGCTCCTGCCGCAGGCTCTCCACCTTCTCCATCACCACCTCCATCTCCTCCTCCCGGTCACGCAGTTCCCGGGACAACTTCTGTTTCTGCAGGCGGAGCTGGGAGTAACGCTCCTCCCCTTCCTGGGCCTCCTCGACTGCCCGCTGGCGCTTGACCTGCGCCTCACGCAACTCACGGCTCCGAGTGGTCAGTAGCTCCCGGGCCTCAGCCAGATCCTGCGAAGAGATTGAGAGGTGGTGGTAGGGCGGTGGGGGGAGGGGGCTTCAAAAGGTCAATTGGAAACCGAGGGTCAGTCAGGGATCAATGGCGCCTGAGGGTCAGTCGGAGATCAATGGCGCCTGAGGGTCAGTCGGAGGTCAATGGCCGAGGGTCAGTCGGTGGTCAATGGCGTCGAGGGTCAGTCAGAGGTCAATGGCGCCGGGGGTCAGTTGGAGATCAAATGCAGAGGGTCAGTTAGAGATCAATGGCGCCCGAGGGTCAGTTAGAGATCAATGACGTGGAGAGCAAGAACAGCTGCTTAAGGAGAGGGAAGGTCAAGAGGATTAACTGAGGGGTAGGAGAGATAATCACGCGATGGAATGGCTGGGTTAGATGTTGATTGGCAAAAAGAGGTGTCCCTGTTGATTTTCTCTCGAAGATAAATTGGAAGTCCCCGGAAAACCTGGTGCAAGCTTTCTCAAAAGGCAGAGACGTTGCTATGATCGGAGAACTGGGGTTTGGGGAGGAGAGGCAGGATTTTCTGTCGAGTTGGGACTCACCCACCCAGGGTCTGGAAAGAGCCACAGGCCGGAGCGAGTTGGCTTTGCTACCTTATAGGTGTCCTCCTTCTCCTGTTTGAGGATCTTCAGCTGCTTCTCCAGGGCTCGGAGCTGACGGTTCTCAGACTCGCTCTTCCTCTTGACTTGTTCGTCGTTATCCAGCTGGTTCTCTGAAAAACGACAGGGCCGTGAGACCAGATCTCAGCGTCCCGAGGAGGTTCCTTGAGGAGGGGGAGATCGAGGAGGGCCCTGAGGGTGGGTGGAGGCATTTGCAGACTGACTGGTCAAAGAGGAGATGACAAAACAGGTAGGACCCTAGGGGTCAGGGACATGAAGACTACAGAGCTTTAATCGAGAGCACCATCTTAACAGGTCCCTTCCACTTCACTAGATAAACTCCGCCTGCTCCCCTCCACAATCCCACTCTATCCCGCCATTCCACAGCCATTCCCCCCAGCAAACACTCCCCAGGACAGGGACAGCATGGGGTTAGATACAGAGTAAAGCTCCCTCTACACTGTTCCCCATCAAACACTCCCCAGACAGGGACAGCACGGGGTTAGATACAGAGTAAAGCTCCCTCTACACTGTTCCCCATCAAACACTCCCCAGGACAGGGACAGCAAGGGGTTAGATACAGAGTAAAGCTCCCTCTACACTGTCCCCCCAACAAACACTCCCCAGGACAGGGACAGCGCGGGGTTAGATACAGAGTAAAGCTCCCTCTACACTGTCACCCATCAAACACTCCCCAGGACAGGGACAGCACGGGGTTAGATACAGAGTAAAGCTCCCTCTACACTGTCACCCATCAAACACTCCCCAGGACAGGGACAGCACGGGGTTAGATACAG